TTCACGGTGACAGCTGGGGTGGGTGGGATATTGGGGTTCTTTGTTTTGTATTTTCTTGCAAAAAAAATTCAATAAATATATTTAAACACAAAATGCTGCAGCCAGAGTTCTGATGAAAATGAAAAAGAGAGATCATATCTCTCCTATCCTGGCTTCTCTTCATTGGCTTCCTGTTAAATCAAGAATAGAATTTAAAATCCCCCTTTTCCACCCTTCCATATCATTTGCCTTCTGGGCATCATGGCTGAGTAGCACTGCGCTCCTCTTTGCTTTACTTATATAATCAATAATATCTATGGCCCTTCTTATATTATCATGTGTTTGTCTGGTCCTCATTTATCAAAGAAGGCATCAAAGTCCTTAATCTTTATCTAATATTGCTGCATTTAGTTTGTAATCTGTATTTAAAACACTAATTGGCCTGTAACCTTTAGGGTGACTTTAGTCTTTCCTCACCTTTGGTATGACTGAGATAAACGCCCCTCGCCATGATGGTGGAAGATCTCCTCCTTTCAGGGACTAGTTGAATGAGGCCTTTAATAACAGGAGCAGCGATTCCTTCATATTCTTTTACCGTTCAGGGAATAATCCATCACAGCCAGGAGGCTTATTGGCTCTTTGATGTTTTTCATTTTAAACTCTACCTATAGATGGTAGATCCACAGAAGCAAGAAATGTTTTAATTGTCTTATTATCCATTTTGTCTGGCTGTGTTTATATCGTAGCATAATATTCTTCAAATGCTTTTTGAATTTCTTCTAGTTTGAGTCATTTTATTTCTCTCGTTATTCCGAACTTGGTAGATGGTGTCAGACTCGGACTGGGAATGATTTTCAGTCTTGGCATTTTTCCATCTACACCGTTCCACTTATGGACAAGGAAGAGCTAAATATGCGGCATGCATCATTTAGGGAGTTAACATTGGATTAATGCTTCAGCTCCTTCAGTTATTTACTGTCACAGGAGCTTCAGGTGGAGAGGAAGAGTTGGAGCCGCTATGATTAAGGAGGGCCGGTCCTCGCACGCTGAGATTAGGACCGGCTCACCGGGGAAAATCCCAGATTACCAGTCGGAGCCTGGATGGTGTTTTCTGGAGGCTTTGGGTCCAGCCTCATTCTAAAACTGGATCTGATGCTGTGGACGGTTTCATTGTCTGAAGAACATTTTCACTTCTTGACTAACCTGCACAGCAGGAGTTTGGTCCACATTGCTGGTTCTGCTCAGAACATTGATGGACCAGATTTCTAGGCCCAGCCAAGGACCAGAGGGGGTCTGGTTCAGGGGTCAGTGGGGGAAAAGTATTCAAGGATTCAGCCCAGTTAAATAAACGGAGATCGATGGAACTGTTTATCCTGCAGCCCTTATGCTCGGTAATCAGCCCTGTTCTGATCTAGACTCAGTTTTTCTACCTTTGCTTATAATGAGGAAAAAGATGTGAAGTTTCTGTCAGAGTCAAAAAAAACACACTTTGGATAAAGAATAAGACTTTCTGGTTATGGAATAAATATTCCTTGTTTGCAAAACACGTCTCACTCAGACATTTAGTGGCCTTGCAGGTGAAATTTTATACCTTTTTTATTGGATAAATATAATAACTAAATATATGAAACAAGAGAAATCTAAATTTTCTGACCACGAGGGGCCGGTGGATCTCCTTCCTGCTTTCTGTGGCGGCGTTGTTCTGCTGGTTCCCTCCTGCAGAGACCTTCAGCTGCTTGGAGGAGGTCCAGAGCCAGGAGGAGAATCAGCTCCTCCTGGTCTGAGGCCATGGTTCTGGTTCTGGACCAGAAAAAGGAGGCTGGTTCCCCTTCAGGTTGGAGCAGAGTTCCTGCCTGCAGTATCCTGGGCTTCTGTTCCTCAGTAAGGGAAGAATGGAGGCGGAGATCCATAGATGGATATAATCCAGACGCTGCTCTGTCTGCTGAGAGAAAAGCTCTGATTTACTTGCTCTACGTTTCTACCATCTCCTATGGTCACTTATCCTTCTGTGCATTTAGTGGAAGGTCCGTCTAACATTGAGGCTTAAAAGATGGAACTCTATTCAGCCTCAGCTTTCTTTTTTGCTCCTATTCTGTTAGAATATTATGGAAAAGTTCATTTATTTCAGTCATTAAGTTAAACAGGAGGTTCAGCGTCTGCAAGAAGACACAGACTGGACTTCTACAGGAAGCTGAGGTCCTTCAGAGGCTGCAGATCTTCTATCAGTCTGATCTCTGCCTCCATCATCATCATCATCATCATCATCATCATCAGAGCTAATGACTGAAAGAAGCTCAAGCAGCTGATAAAGAAGGCGGGCTCTGTTCTAGGAACTCCTCTAGAACCTCTGGAGATGAAGAAGATGATGGACAGCAGTGAGCATCCTCTTCATCAGGTAAACACCAACAGAGGGTCTTCAGTCAGAGGCAACTCCAGATGCTGCAGGACAGACAGCTGCAGAAGAATCAGCCTCATTTACAGAATCAGTGTGTGAATAAAAGCAAATAAAGAAGGACTTCATCCACCCTCCCAAATGTGGCAGAATGACACGTTTTCTTTGGGTCTCTAGGGGGACAGATGGAGGAGGACAGAGACAGGAGCGAGCAGGGACAGACGAGGACAACAGCTGCTCAGATCAGCAGAACTGATAACAGGAATAGGAGAGTTTCTCTTTCCTTCCATTCTCAGGTGTGACTGAAGGAACGGCTGAACAGTTTTTTCATCACAGGCTCCGCCTCCTCCACCTGCAGCTGAACTTTAGCCCAACCTGAGGTCGGCTGACAGGAATCCAGAGCCGCAGCAGGTGGGAACAATGCGAGCCTCCTCTAAGAAGAGTGTTTTTCTGCTGCTGGCCGTTTTCTCCCTCCTTGTTTGCTTCATTTTCTACAGGAGCTTCAACAGGTAGGACACCTGGAGACAGTCAGGGGTCAGGAACAACCCACTGCTGCTCCACAGCTTCAGGTTTTAGTCTCCCACAAAGGATCCGACTCAGGATCCTCAGGATGGATTCAGCAAATAATCAGACAGAAAGTTTTGTCCTTTGGAGGAAACTGATTAAAACTTGGAAAAATAGAGCCGGTTTGTCCTGATCGAAGAAACTAGTCAATAAATGATGAAGATGATCAATCTGGATCCTTAGAGCAGAGATGTTTTACTGGACAGATGAATAAAACCCCCCCCAATGACGGAGCTCCCAGACCTGTCCGTCAGGATCATCATTGCTTCGTCTTTTGGTCATGATCTTAATCTCTTAATCTTAGGTGAGGAAGAGAAAGTTGATGGACCAGTTCATCCATCTCCACCTCTTTTTTTCACTTTTACCCGATGTATTCCAGCATCCAGCTGCCATGCACGTGGGCATTGTCAGTTTCACTATAGCTCTGGTGAATTTCAATGGTGAAGTCCTCTGGAAATCTTCAATAATTGTTGTTGATTGCAGATGTGTCTAGTAGTTCCCATTGATTTAGCTTGTAAAGCGGGGAGAATGGCGCTAGGCTTACCGCACCGTGACGTCACTGCTGGAAGATGGCAGGAGGGAGGGGCTACTTTATTTGGGCAAAGATGGCCGCTCCCAGACTCAGTGATCGTTATGAAAATTATTTTTTTTTTACCAATTAACTCTAAATTCATTAAATCTCTGCGAACGTATTGGATTTATTTATAAATAATGATCCATCGATTATTCCTCGCTGACTTTTCCTTTAAGGTCAAATATTTATTGCATAATAATCTAAGTATTGAGATATAAAAGCAGCAATCCATCCTTCTAAACATGCATCTGGTGACAGTGGAGAGGAAACTTCTCTCTAACCTCCATCAGAAGTAGAACCAGGCTCGGTATGAGCGGCCTTCTGACATTTCATCACACCGGAGGATTGAGCAGAGAGAACAGAGAAGGAAGCCACTGATCCAGGAGTACTTTCTATGTAAAAGGACAGAAACATCAGGTCAGGTCTATCATCTACAGAGAGCACATGATGGCAGGTGGAAACGGTTAATGGTTTACAGATCAGGCGGCTGCCTGGAAATTGCATTAAATAAAAGATTCAAGGTCCTCAATTCCTTCCGACTGTAAATTCTCCATATCTCAGATAATCTCCGTGTCTCAGATAATCTCCGTGTCTCAGATAATCTCTGTGTCTCAGATAATCTCCGTATCTCAGATAATCTCCGTATCGCAGATAATGGTTCTGACCCAGTAACAAACATTTGGGTTTCACCAGTGTCTCCATTGGCCTCTCTGTCTCCCTCTGCTGGTTTCTGACCAATCAGAGCCCAGAGTGCAGAGAGACACGCCCACAATCTCCTTCATTGCCCTCAGTAGATGTAGCCTGTGTTCGAATTCCTGGGCTGCGTCCTCTGAAGGCCAGATTCGTAGGCCGATGATGTCATAGCGCGGCGCCGAGGGCTGGTCGGATTCTAGGACTCCTCGTTATCCGGCCGATTAATGCGTCCTTCTTTCTGCCTGATTAGAAGAACGGGTCCGATTTATCCTCCGTAGCCTCAGGTATCCCAGGATTCATTGCGAGACCAAGCAAGCCGGCTGCTCCGTGATCAGATTCTAATTTTAATATATCTGCAGAGTGGGACTTTAAATCTGATGGAATTTTTATTTTTCAGTTACTATTTTGCATAATTTGCTTAACTAAGTATTTTTTGTTGTTGAATATTAGAGATTTTCAGGATAATTTTTGTTATACATACATTGTTTAGATTTACTTATATGTTTTTACCCCTTTTATAGAATAAATTAGAATAGAATAAATCCCTTTATTGTCCCACAATGGGCAAATTTACAGCAGCAGAAAGATTATTGAAAATGGTCACACAAATGTGGACCTTAGAAAAATGTCTAAGAATAACATAATAGGGAAGAGTTAAAATAAAAACAATAAAATCCTGTAAAGTGTTTTAACAATATAAAACTGGAGAATAAATAACCAATATGC